AATACGTGTCACCAATTATGGTAGTACAATCTTTTGAGACAGATCGTTAAATAATTATAACAATTGAATAGAATAAATATTATTTTGTTTTTGGTTGCTATGGGTTACCGGACTGGCAGAATTGAGTTGTAGTAGGCAAGTTGCCACATATCTATTTATCTATAATGTATATTAAACTTTTAATTGTTTAAAAACTGTACTTTTTAAAAACACTTATATAAATATGTAAAATAAATAACACCTTTTTAACTAATTCTAGATCATCGTACGTCTGATTTTTCAGTGCCGACACAGATGCATTTCCTAATCCAAGGCTAGTAGTTAGGTTAGTGTAGTGATATTCTTAATATATTTTGAGTATTTTATGGCAGATTCAGCATTTTATTATTATTTGCATTATTTTCTTATTGAGAATATATTCTATATATTATATTACTGAAAGTTTTTAAGGGGGGCGCCAAAAAGGTATTTTGCCCCGGGCGCCAGTTATACTTGCTACGCCACTGGTGGAGACTGATACTGCTAATTCAGAAATGCGTGGCAGGAGGAGTATGTTCATTCTTTATACTTTCTACCTTATTAAAATTACATATGAAAATTCACTGTAGAGTTTTAAGAATCTTTTTTACTTCTTTTTTTAGTGTGTTATGCCAGTAATTATTTTTTTCCATGCTTGGGTGGCTCTATTCGGTGAACTTCAGCATAGGTGACTGTATATAAATAAAATATGGTATATATAATTTCCAAAATGATTGTAAAATTTACTATTTTAAAAAAGGAAAATTTAAAAATTTTCCTTTTTTTTTATTGTATTACAGATTTTATTGTATTATTGATAGTTGGACCAACTCTGTAAAAATATGGAGAAAAGGAAAAATATTATAAAATCAGTGTAAAATAAAAGTTATGCACATTAATACTGAATATTATTCACAATTTTATTGCTCTAAGTGTTTTTTTCTCTAAATCAGTTATCTCCCCCCAAGCTGTAAAGTGATTAATTGGTGATTTGTGGCCTATGCATTATATGTTTGAAATTAAGTCTCCTAATTATTATTTTCTAAGAACTAAACAATTGACTTAAAAGCAAAAACCAGGTTTCTAAATAATAGCAAAATCAAATTTAACAGTCCAAAAATATACCTTTTTATTAGCAATCAAAATCTGATGATTTGAAATAAGTTTAACAATCAAAACCAAATATTAATCAAAAAGCATTAACTCTTTGAAATCCAGACCCTTCGCTAACTTGTATCCTCAAAATACCGAACTGTGCGAAATATTTTTCCAGTTTCACAGCAATTTCCTTCCCTCCCCGTCCATTAACGCAGAAAATAGGTATGAAGATTTCGAATGGCATCCTTTGTACTTTCTAACAAAGATTCCATTAGGCTTTGACCCCGTTCTTTATAAAACTATTCTGAAGGTCAGACCAACAAGCCTTTCTGGCTTTGTTGTGATCAAGACTGAGATTTTGTTTATTTCCGTTATTTTTATAGGAAGGAGTAAATTGATTGAAAATAAATATAACCCTTAAATTTTTAAACTGAACTTTTATTGCTGTTTAAAGCTTAAAAGCACACTGTACCACAAAAGAATCAACAATGAAATGTTACAAGCAAACAAAAGATAAGAAACCTCTTAGGACAAGCTGTCTACAGTAAACTGATACAATGCATTTGGGGAAACTGCACCTGCTACTGCATACCTTTAAGAGAAGGGAAGAAAGCAAGATTACAATCTTGGCTGTTTTCAGGTGTTTCTGGTTGTATCAATGTAGAGCAGTGTGGGGTGGATTGGTTGTGAAAGAGTTAACAGTAAAGTAAAGCAAGAAACATTGAATAAAAAAATGTCAATTCAAAAGAATTAGTTTGACCATGTTAACAGTCTAAATGTGAGAAAGCACCACACAACAAACATGAATAAATTAACTGAAAAATAAAAACCTAAATTAACTGAAAATTAATTAAAAGAAGAAATGAAGATTTAAACAGTAGAAAATTAGCAATCTGGTTTTAAGATTTTCATGTACTTCATATAAAACTATAGTATACATAATACAGCAGCCAAGTGTCAAATAGCAATCCATAACCTATGGAAACCTCAGAGATTGTATGATGGCCTAAGAGGTCATGTACAGCTTGAAACCTATTAGGTCACATGCTAATTTATGCAACATTTTGATTTCACTCTTGCTTCTTTCGTTCAAAACTTTTTGACAATACTGTGCATGTGCTAAACAGTGCTGTCTTCTTAATTTTTAAAAATATTGCTGGCCTTAAATTCTGTTCCCAATGCCTGCCTTAAATTCTATAAAATTTGCCATTCCTAAATTTTATTGCTTGGTGCTTCTCTAAATTCCCAAAATTTTGCCATCCCTAAATTGTGCCACCCATTGTGAACATACTAGATGCAATAGTTTTGCTGACTTAGCTTATAATACAAGCTTATTAGCAGCTTTGATTATGTAACTTTTATGATAATTTATATATACGAATATGAATATTGCTATTTTATTCATTTTGGTGATTAATCATATATTTGATATAATTTAAATTATTTTGTATTGGAAGATTTTTTAAGTTTCTAAATGTCAGATGTTTCTGAAACAAACTTTAAAAAGAAAACAGCTTTATTAAAAAACATTCACCAGTCAGAACATTGCAAAACTAAAACATCAACTGAAGCAAGATCCCAAAAAAACAATTAATCTTTTATAGGTAAATAACATCAAATATAACAAAAACAAGATGCTAAAGAAAAATTATTCAAAATTCTATAGCAGCAAAAATTGGCATAAGTTTGCAGGACTAGTTTTGAAGATTGAGTAGAACCCTTTCTTCAGCTGTAAAAATGAAAATAATGATAAGGAAGCTTGTGCTTATTTGATAAGAATAAACAAACATTTCAGAACTCCAATAAATTAAGGAAGAGAAAAAGGAGCTTGCAGTGTCACCTATTGACAAAAAGTGAAAGTAACTATGAAATAATTTCTTTAAAAGCTGAAAGTAAAAAACAGTTATGAATTTGGATCATTAACTAGAACTGAAAGACTTTTTTATGATTTTATATATTTTTTAGATCCTAGAGACATATCACGTTCATAAAAATTTCTCTTTTTATCAAAAGTTAGAAAATTATATAATTTAGTTGTAAATTCTAGGAAAATATGTATTAAATGTTAGGGTACTTTATGTATTAACGCAACCACCTTGCTGCAGTTGGGTGATATTTTACAGATGAAAAGGTAAAAGCTACTTATTGAGTGCAAGTTGATGGTTTTTGTGCCTTTTTCTTTAGAAGGATTCCCAAACTATCGATATTTATTGTAAGTCAGTAACATGTGAAAAAAAAACATACTTTAGCAGTTTAAAATACAAATTTGAGTTATTAAATGTGGAGTACATGATAAGTAAAAAAAATAAAAACACATTCTTCAAATGCTTCTGAAATTTTTGTGCATTTTTCTTCTCCTGAAGTACACAACAATCTGTATTTGCATTAAAAGAGTAAGAGAATTGCAGAGACTCGGCTTCCGGCAACAGCAACTATCTAAGAAATGCATTTCCTCATTGTTCCCTTTAGAAAACTTTCAGAAAAATTCTATACTGCTGCAGAAATTTTACCGCAGTTTCTTCCATTACTAGAAAATTTGGTTGAAATTTACTGTACGGTTCCGCTTAGTTTCTGTCTGAAAAAATCACCAAGTGGTATTGATTGTTCGTGAAATCTGGAAGCCTGCTGTGTGAAGTAGGTTTTTTGGTAACCCTAATGTTGATAATGTTGGTGAAACTAGTCTTGAGGAAAAATCGCGAATATTGCCATATGTGTTGTAATAAGTTGAGATATTGGGTATCTTTTGCAATAGTAACTTTTTCATATGGACCATAGATTTTCAATTGCTGTGTTTGGTTGCACGTGCATAGCGTTTTATGAAAGTGGTGCTTTGAAAATGAATATATTATTCCGGATACAACTATGGTTTTCTTGGACGTTATTATACATATTTATCCGCTATTAACAACGGATGAGCCAGAACGACCAGATATTTAATTGAATTGCTTATGTGGACGAGATGCTGGTGGGAGGCGTTAACGTACCCACACAAAGAAAATGTATGTTAAAGAATTGGCATTTTATTTATTTATTGGTATCTGTGTGTTAATTTTTGTTGAAAGATTTGTTGTTTAATGTTTTTATGTTGGGAAATATGTATTTTTGGTTATTTATTACTCTGTGTTTGTGTATTTTTGGTTATTTGTTCGTGTCTGTGTGTTAAGACAGTAGCAAATTTTTTTCTGGTTAACATGATAGTTTTAACTTTGTTTTAGCTTTCTGATTTTGTTCAAGTTAAAATAGGTTGATGTGTACATGGATAAAGTTAAATTAGGGCACAATGCCTAGTTTGCAATTCTCTGATTTTTTTTTTCAAGTTAAATAGGTCGATGTGTACATGGATAAAGTTAAATTAGTGAGCAATGCCTAGTTTGTTCAATTCTCTGATTTTTTTAAAGTTAAAATAGACCGATGTGTATATGGACATCGAGTTTATGTAAGTGTTTGATTTTCTGTAGGGAAAGGAAGGATCAAGACCATCTTGAAATTGGCTCTGATCCTTCATAGCGTAGATCTTAAAAAAAATCAACAATTCACCAAGCGGAACCATAGAGTAAAGCTTAACTGCAAATTCTTCAAAATCATATTTTAAAACTAAATTTAGTCCAAAAAATATGACAATTGATTTATAAAAACCCTTTGAACTTGGAATACAATGAAAAAGAACACGTATGAAAATGACAGCGATGCTTGACTGAAGATTGTTATGAGTATGGTTCTCAGAAGAATGGTTATGCACATAGTTGCCAGATTTTGGCACATTCTGAAAATTTGGCAACTTCTACTAAGGTGGTTGTGTTAACAAGTAAGTTCCAGTTTTAGAATACTACGTATTAATATAAAAATAAATATATAAATAACTATAATTGTAACTTATGTTCCAGGTACTTAGTTGAGCAAAAAGATGTTGATTTAAATGTGAGAGATAAATGGGATTGTACCCCTCTGTAAGTAGATTTCTGTTATTTCTGAAGGCTTTCTTTCATACTTATTGTGTACTTTGTTAGCTGTTTTTTAAATTCAGATTTTAAAATATGTATTTTAATTCGTTGTTACTGACCTTTATGCCTTTCTATATATTATATATATTATATCTGTGATATTTCTATATATTATATCTGTGATAATCACTATTAATCTAATGCAGTACAAAGTCTGAGATCCAGAATTTTCTGGGCATCAGTGATTCTGTATTTCGGAAATTTGCCAAAGAAATCTAGTAAGTTTAATCAGTCTAAATCTTGTAAGATTACATGTAGACATAAAACGTCTAAAAATATGTCAATTGTTTGAAGTTATGAAGCATTGATGTAAAGAGAACCAAAATTACAAAAAAAAAAAAAAAAAAAAAAAAGAGAGAGAGAGAAGAGAAGGAAAAAAAAAGAACAAGTTTTAATGTTAACATCTGTCTTGTTTCATTAAATTTTTTTTCACATAAGTTGTGTAAGCAATTTCATTTTATGTGTTAGTGCTAATTTTATTGAGAGATGTAATTTCTTGTCGAGTTACTCCATGTAATTGCCATATTAAGAATTCCCATTAAGTAATCTTTGAAAATCTCCTTATTCTCTTTTAGCTACTTTATCACTTCTTTCACAACAGCATTTTCTGCATTTAAAACCATGATACGGGTTTCGCTGTCCGTACTGATTGATGATTAGGGCATTTTCATCCCAATGAAGACTTCAGCTGTGCATCTTCATTTAGCATTACTTTGTATCTCTGCATATTCCACGAATTAGGAAATTTGGCAGTTCTTTTCCCTGTCATTGATTTTGGGGGAAGGGAGCTTTGTGTGGCATATTTCCTTGGCAATGCACATCAATTTAAATTGGATTCTTTCCTCACGTGACTACACTTTTATCTCATCATGGTTGTTTCCTTTTTTACATTTTTAAACTAAAATGGACTTTTTTTAAACCTGAAATCTGCCAAGAGATAAACAAGCAGCTATCTTATTTCTTCGTAAAAGAAACATGTTTCACAAAGAAAGACTGTTTGAATAATCATCTCATGAAATTAAAATACGATTCAAAATCAAAATGACAGAACATTTTTTAAAAAAAGGAATAATATTTCTGCCGTTTTGTCTTACTACGAATTTTTCCATCCATTAATTGACTGATGACCAAAGACTTGTGTCATCTCCATTTACTATTTCTTCACTTATTCTATCGATTAAAAAAAATGTTTCTTTTTACTTGAGTTGTTATCTGAAAATCTTCAAATTTGTGGTTATTATCATCATTGTAAAATACCATAGTTGGCTATAAACAAGCCTGGTTTCAGCATTTTTGATGCCTTAGCTGATCAACGTGGTTGGTGTTCTGTATAAAACATATTCATAATTCCTAGCAAACTGTACCATTATTTAATTATTGCATATGAAAACAACATGACTGGCTCCCTTAAAAAATCTGCATCATAGCCAGCTGCCTGTGTTTATGCAAGCATTTAAAAAATATCTGGTGGCCTTGTAGTCGTATTCCTGCACATATTTTAACAATCTTTCTGTATCTGAATTTCAGTGTATGCAAATTTCCAATACCCATTGGCTGATTGATGGATATAAAGTTTCGAGGGAAGAGTAAAGTGGAGATGTTATCTTTTACTAAAACTTTAGATTTTTGATAAGATGGCAATAATAATAATAAACTGGATGATCTTAATTAAATCAGAATTTAATTAATTCTTCTTCTTCCCTGATAGGCCAACAAAAGAAAAACACTATGTGCAAAATTCTACTCCAAATAAATGTTGATCTTCAAGGTTCACTTATTGTGCATAGGGCTACGTAAGCTTTAAAAAAATACTGCTTTTTCCCACAGCTGTTCAACAATTGAAGATAAAAATATTATTAGCTAACTGGCAGGTGTTTAAAGCTGAAACATTATGTAGAATGATTCATTATTACTACGGATAATGATGTTTTTTGGAAAAATGAAAAAACTCAGCTAATCAATTTATGGCACACTGCCTTGTGTTTTAGCACCATTTTGTCTATTTCTGCACTGTGTGTGAAAAACAAAAAAATTTCAAGGTGTAAAAAACTTATGGGAATTCTAGATGTTGCTTTTACATGTGAGATCATAATGGATAAAGTAGATTAGGGGTAGTCAACCTTTTTATACTTACCACCCACTTTGTAGGTAGTAAAATTTCCTTACTGCCCATCAATTCACAGTACTTCTTGTATGTACTCTTGTACTTTACAAATCTCTCTCTTAATGAAAACTGAAATCTTTCATTAAAAGGAAAAAATTAAAATTTTTACATATTTTGTTTACTAGTTAAATGCTAATTAGTCAAATTTTTGCTATATCCCTGCTCCCTTCCCCCCCAAAAAAAAGTAAGAGAGAGAGGTAACAGAGATTATTTTTGTTTGTCTAGTTAACAAAGTTTTTTTTTACAGGTATTATGCATGCTTGTGTGGTCATTATGATACTGTTCTGTATCTTCTTGAAAATGGTAATACATATTTTCTGTTAAATGAAAAGATTGATTCTTAAATTGTGAATTTAATTAAATGTTTCTTTTCTTGGTATTTCTTTGTTATAGCGGCCCACAACCATATTTGCTGATTTTAGATTTGCACCAAGATCTCAGCTTTAATTTTGCTAGTCGTGTGAAGCACGAATGTAAAAATAAAGAACTGAATATGTAAAAATAAAAATAATACTTATGTCATTTTCTAAGAATATTTTTAAGTTTCCTTATCATCATCACTATCATTATTTTATTGCGTGTAATTGTTGTAGTCATCTGCAGCATTTTCATGCATATTAAGCTGTTTGTTACACCATTTCGTGGAGGTCTACTTCTCTGCCCAGGAATACATCAGCAGTGACAAACGATATTCTGAAATCGCTGAACCAATTTCCAATATGAAGCGCCTTCTTTTAGCATTGTACCTCCAAATATTTTCTTCATTAATGTAAAGTTTCATGTTGCAGCCATTTTTGCATACTCGTTTGTCAGGTAAAAGACCTCTTTCTGCAAAAAATGATATACCATCCATCTCTACTGACTGATCATGGGCGTCTGTCGGCTTTTTCTAATCGGTTCCATCTACAGAAAAACGATAAATGTTTAATATGTGATAAGTTTAGAGATGTCAGGCATTTCGTCAATGAATGTACACTTACCCAAAGTGCAAGAGAGAAATATTGAAAGAATTTTAAGGAAGAATTTAACAGGAGCTATACAAATTTGAAAGATTTTGCAGAGACAATGATGAACATTATAAATATGAACAAAGATAGAATTGGAATTCGGCACTGAGACTCGTACACTACTATTGTAGATAAAAATGTGCCGGCACAGATTATGGACTTTGTTTTTTTTCTGGCCAGTCCCATTTTTTGATCATACGACCGGCTTGTGCTGGCTAGGAGGATCAGAGCTGCGCCCTTATAATAATAATAAAATACCATCCATCTCTAAAGATTGCTAACATCATAATGATAAAACAAAGTGATGAATATATTTTTAAATATGCAATGTGAATTCAAAAACATCATAAAAAATGAATAATATAAGAATACACAGCAAGACCAAAAATTGCAACATGGTGCTAATGTATGATTATGTGGCGAGGTATGAGGATACACAGATGGTGCTAACATATGATCATGTGGTGAGGTGTAAGAACATGCAGTTAGATTTTGGCTAAATATCTCTGTTGATTGACGATTCAATCTCAGGGGCCGCTATAACCAAGAAGTATCCATTTCTTTTAGATTCTTTTTAATGTATTAAATGTTATGAATTAAAAACAATCTTGTAGTATATGACAGTGGTTCACAAACATTTTTGATTTTTGACACCCTTGGTATATCAGAATTTTGTTATGACATGCAAAGTTATAACATAGGTCTACCTGATAGTTAGAATATACAGTTGATAATTTGGTTAAATTGACAGTTAAATGAAATATTTCAAATTTAGAAGCAGTTTTATGTAAAATGTATTAAATAAATATTACCATATCACTAAATAAATGAAAACAAAATCAGTGATCCATTTCCTAAAATCATATCCACTGAAAATGCTGGAACATTTAGTGGTGTTTCTAAGCCACAGAGTATATTAATGCGCATAGATATGGAATCAGGATTTTAGTCCATTCAAAAATTTAAAAGCATAGCTTTAGAAGATGTGTGATAATAGTCTTCCTTGTTCATGTCTACTTTTATTTGTCTGCTTTTTAGGTCTGTTTATAAATAAGAACCAAACATCTATCAACTTCTTTGAAGAAAAATTTTTACATATAAATGAATAAGCACTAAAATACATTATCTACTGAATCATTAAGAATATTGTAAAGGCAATTATAACAGAAACATCATTACATCATCCCTCTGTGAATGAATAACGTATGTACACACTAGATAGTATGCATGGTAAAAAAATCTTGCTCTAGAAGACGGATACTGCGTATGTACATTTTCTTTCAGAACATTTTTATCTACAACGGTAGTTGTTACTCCTTATCCACCTCACTTCATACAGTATTTTTTTTTTCCCATTTTCAGAACCTCTAGGGTAAAAATCAAAACTTGCTCAAATCATATGAACTGTTCATTTTGTTTTTAATTATTCTGCCCACTTTTCTTTCTTTAAAATAAAAAAGTGGACAAAATCCGAAATTTTAATAAAAACTTGCCTCCCTTTTCCAGTTTAGGTATTTATGTATAGTGTTTTTTTTCCCTACCAGTTCTGCCAAATTATTTAGGCGCTGCTGGTTTGGAATATTATCCCAGCTGTCATTTTAATATTCTTTTTTCAGCAGTTAGGCCACCTTACTATATTTTTCTCCATTTTTTTTGTTTCTTTTTCGTGGATATTTGTCCATTCAAACAAAAATTAGAAGAATCCTGATTAATATATGTGGTTAGTAATTATCTTATCATTTGTTGGTAAACACTATATACAATATATACATGTTCATAGGACACAACCTACGTAATCTTTCCCAGGCATGATGCTTATTACATTGCTTTTCATATACTCACTTGATGAGTTGGGCATGATTGATATGTTCTGTGATGGCTTTGATCCCTTGGTATTTAGGTATAACAATCGTAATAGAAGATACCAAAATTTTAGAATATGCTAAAGCTGTAATAACTGTATATATAAAAATTCTTCACTTTTGACAAGCAATGTGGCCATTTTTGTATGTGTTCTTTGTTTGTTATATATCAAGTTCCAATGGTTTTTTTTAAACAAATTATGATAATTTTATCTTGAAATCAATTTTATATAAATAAAATAAAACGTTAGTCAGTCTCTGCACAATCCACTAAATAACCAGTGTTGTGGAAGAGTTCAGCCCACTTTGTTTTCCATTTTGTAAAAAGACTTTTGGCTATTTCTATTACTTTGTCAGGCCCTCCAAATTTGCCAGAAGCTCTGTATAAAGTGGTACGAGTATAAACTCCCCCCACAGGTGTTTTTTTTTTTTTCAATCTATTTGTTTTTTGGTCATATCCAGCTGTCCTATTATCCCATTCAACAAAAATTAGTTCTCTTGACCAGCTGTAAATGAAATGACGTGCAGTCAGAAATATGATTCTACAGCCCTCAATCTCATGCCCCCCCCAAAAAAAAGGAAGAGCAGTAACAGTTAATTTATATCCTTTGTCATAAAAACAAAAGGTGGCATATTGAGAATCAGTTGGGGTTACGCCAAAGGAAAATGAGATGCTGTGTGTTGTGAATTTGGCACTAAATTACAACTGGCAATCATAATTGGCACTTAATCACACCCCTTGGTAGCAGTTTCATGGTTGCTGGGATGATAATATGTAAATACCAAATGGAAGGTAAATAATTATTTAGCAAATCATAAAATATTTGCTTAACTTTCGCAATCTGTTTCGCAAATCAAGACCAAAATCTGTTCCTTTCAAACATCTAAAATGCTCGAACATACGAATTTTTATTGGAATGGAATACCTTCCCCACATGCAAAGTAGAATGCTACAGCGTTAATAGTAACCTACTTAAGTGAAATGACTACTTCTCTTTTGAAGATCTTACTGTGGTTTCACCAACTGTGTTCAGTTTCTCCTTAGGGTAGGATTGCAAGTGCGAACATCAATAGCTAAACAAAGGAGAGGGAAGGTGCATTCAAATAGAAGAGCTGCTTTTAGTGGCTTGAAAAAAATGATTGGCATGTCATTTAACAATTCCCAAAAACAATGAACATGATGGGAGGAAAGCACCAGGTAGAAAAGGAAGGAAGGCATTCCAGCGACCTGCTGATGTTTGAATGCTTTGGGCAACTTCATTGTGAAAAAGTTAAAATGTGTTTAGACAACCAACTTTTTAGGCATATTCTTATTTTCCACTTACTTCTCAGCGTCCCATTTACTTTCCTCTGAACCAACAATTCTGAATGTCTATCCGTGAGGGGAATTAGTGCCCATGTTGGCAAACTTTGCCACTTTTTCCTTTTAAAAATAAATGTTTATAGGTTTCATATGAACTATTAAATCTCTGCCTGGATACATAATACATATTAAAAATACATTTTCCCTATTACGATAAAATGATGCAGATATTTATTAAAGTTGTTGGGCGTATTTTTTATAAATTACACAAATTAGATATATTATAAATTATAACAGTGAGATATATAAGAAAATAAAACAAATTATTAAGAATTATGTACGTTCCTTTTAAATTGCCCAACCATTTAAGTATGTGGTTTTAACTGAAAAGATACCGCACTGAAAGGTGACACATTAAATAACAAAATCTCTGAGACTTTTGCAATCCTCTGAGCATTTTGCCAGACAACATGGGTGATAAATTAAAGATCTTAGGATCTCAAACTCAGATTGCACGCAGGGCAAATGCACAATCTGAAAACAATTGACAGGCCAGAATTTTTTTTTAAAGAAAAAATAAAATAAAATAAAAACCTTATTAGCAAAATTAAAAAATATTTTAAATGTTGCCTAACTAAATAGTTGCCGAAATGTACATAAACTATACTCTAACATCGCACTGGAAAAAAAATTCAAATTTGTATTTATTTTCTATTTAAAATCTAAAGTTTGATACCTGCAAAACATCTTTGTTAGTTACACTTTGTAATTAAATGAAGGGCAGCTAAATATGAAATTTTCAGACATTTATATTAAATAATTGTAACATGTTTAATTAATTATTAAAAAGCTTACTGTAATTTAAAATTTAAAAAATGAAAACTGTTTAAGTTTTCAGGTGTAAATTTTCTTGTGTTTCCTTGATGCGACAGCCCAGGGTGGGCCCTGGTCTTCGCCAAGCATCTTTGCTTTTGGAAACAGTTTTCCAGTTTTTGATCTTTAGAAGGTTCAGGTCATTTTCAACACAGTCGATCCATTTTGCTGGGATTCTTACCTGAGGCCTGATTCATATGGATTTGCTAGACAAATTTTCTTGCAACACCGATTTTCATGCATTTTTCCCAGGTGATC